CATTTTCTAGGACAGTATCATAGAGAAATAATCAGGGTAGGTCAGAAAAATTGTCTAAAGAAGTTTTATAATAGTGTTATTTTGAATTGCAAAAAGATTGGAAACAAGGTAATATCTGACAGTCTGAGACTAGTTAAATGGATTATTTTACACTTATATATGCTGGACTACTCAGCCATTAAAATGATACATGTGATAGGATATTTTTGATAGTTGTATAGATACAGACAGTATGATCTCAGCGTTGTTTAAAAATATCTAGATATAGGTTTAGATATAGTTAGGAGGCTGGGTATGGTGGCTCACACTTGTAATCCTAGTACTCTGGGAGGCTGAGGCGGGAGAATCGCTTGATGTCAGGAGTTTGACACGAACCTCAGCAAGAATGAGACCCCCATCTCTATTAAAAATAGAAAGAAATTAGCTGAGCAACTAAAAATAGAAAAAATTAGCCAGGCATGGTGGTGTACTCCTGTAGGCCCAGTTACTTGGGAGACTGAGGTAGGAGAATTGCTTGAGCCCAGGAGGTTGCTGTGAGCTAGGATGATGCCACTGTTAAAAAAAAAAAAAAAAAAAATATATATATATATAGTTAGGAAAAAAACTTGAGGGAAGCATATCATCAAACTATGTAGCTGTCTTAGGGTAGTAGGATTCCCCTACCTCAGCATGATTTCTGGGGGGATTGAAATGGGGTCTCTTGGCCAATATTCTATTCCCAGAATCTAACTATCTGCTGAAGAGTGAATGTGTTATAGGTGGTTTTGACTTTCTTCTTTATATTTTCCTATATATTCCAAATTTTCTACAATAAACACGTTTACTTTTAAATTTACAATAAATTTGAAAATTTTTGATGAGAAAAAGTGTAAAGAAAAGGAAAAATATGGGAAAACAGGAGGGGGAGACGGTACAGGAAAATTTGTTCTTTGTGTCCCCAGATCCTGGGGGCAGAATGGTGGAATCCTAGTACCAGACAGAGGAAATAGAAAGGCACAAAGATTCCCTTTGTCATAATAGTAGCAATAGCAGTAGCTTTGGGTCTTTACTATGTGCTGAATGATTTTCATGCATTGTCTCCTTTAATCTACACAAAGCCCTTTAAGAGGTAGGATCCATATTAACACCCCCGTTTTACAGATGAGAAAACTGAGGCTTAGCACTGTGAAGGAGGTCCCTAGAGATGACACTGCGGGTTCAACAGCAAAGCTGTGAATTGAAAACCCAAAGGCCCTGCTCTCAGCTTTGCCTGGTGCCTGCCATGTTGCAGAGGAATTCCCTGGCCATGTGTGAGGTGGAAATCTGTCGTCAGGCTTGTGGTTGAGAAGTTGCTGAGGGAGCAGAAGCTGGGGCTCTTGGAGACCCCGCTCAGCCAAGGCCCTGGGGACCACGAGGGGGCAGCAGAGGCCTGCGCTGGCCGGCTGCTCTGTCCCCAGCTGACTGCAGGCTCTGGGCAGCTGTCCTGAGTCAAAACCTGAACCTCTGGTGGCCAAGAATAGCAAGGGGCTGTCATTCACGTGGGTGCACTCCTTCCCAGGGTTTCGAAAGCCCCTCACGTCATCCCTGTCATTTCATAATCCTGCCGCAGAGCACTTTTTCCATCTTCCTCAAACAGGTCTGATCTTGGCCAGCAAAAAGGGCTCAGGGACACACACTTCCTGCAGACAGTGTGTTAGGTGCTGGGGCCACAGAGACTTAAAAAAAAAAACAACACTAGAAAACCTAGACCCAGGCCTTTACCCCAAGGGAGACTGGCACCTAAATAAATATCAGAGGTGCACTGTGCAAAGTGCTACAACAGACAGAATGTTTGAGATTCAGAGATAGGACAAAGTGGGCGAAGAAGAGTGGAATTATACACCAGGGCTTTGGCTCTCCGGTGGCCCAAGGGTGTGTGCCTGTCTGCGGGTGCCATCTTTCATGCGACCAGAGGCAGGGAGAGAGGCTGAGAAGTCTGGTCTAGATGGATGTTGGCTAAAAGGTCCTAGGTTGAAAAATGTTAGATGCTGAGAGAATGTCAAATGTTCTAGAAATCACGGAATTAGCCTTTCCAAATCCTGGGGCAGGGTGTTGGGTTGGGACGGCTGAAGCAGGCCTGACCTGGGCTCAGGAAGCTGGTGAGAGATGGTGGAGGTGGCGTTGGGGTTAGGAGGTTGTTCTGAGGTCCATTGTCAAGGTTAGTGCGCTCCAGGACCTGGCAAAGCCAGTGGGGAAGACAGCCAACCTTGCCTACCCCCTCTGGGCTGGGCCCAGGAGGACTTGGGCCGGCCTAGCGGCTTCCTTCTCCAAGGACATGGACTCAGGCTCCAGGATAGTCCCAGCCAGGATCATTCCAGTGGGATTCTGGGTCTTCCTCCAGCCACATACCTCCCCTCCCCACTAAAGGTGTGAAATGGGCCTGGTTGGGTGAGGTAACCCCTTGATCCGCTGGGCTCATTCATGGCTGACAACCTGTGTGGTCCCTGGAGCGCCGCCCTCCTCCAAGATCAGCCCAGAAGGGAGTGGGGTTGGGTGGGGAATCGGGGGCCCTGCTGCAGCTCTGTTTGCCCCCTGCAGCCCAGCAGCCTTCGGTTGTGCCCACCCCACAGGCATTGTAGACACAGGTGTGCCACCGAGCGGCCATGAGGCTCCTGTTCTGCAGGGGACACCCTTGCCCCTCCGACTCTTAATTTTATTCCCGGGGAATTTCCCTCTGGGCAGGATAATCCCAGGTGGCAGTGTTAGGCAGCCATCCTCAGACTTGTTCCCTGCAGCACCAAGCATGAGGGACAGAGGAGGGACCCAGGCCTGGGGCTCAGTATGCAGTGACCACCCGCCCCACAACCAAAACATTTTTTTGATCTCTCACTCTTTTTCTTGAAAGTTCACATGCATTTCACCCTCTACTTTTTAGTGCGTCCTGGCAAATTTTAGCATCGAAGCAATGTTTTTAGTGATTTGCAGTTCCATTTAAAGTGAGTTACACGGCTGGTTTATTTTCTGTTCTAAGGTGGGGTCAAAACTGTAAGAAGCACCATGGATTTAAGGCTATTTAATTTTTTTTTTTTTTTTTTTTGAGGAACAAGAAGCATGGCCACATTAAACAAACACATCAATGCATTCAGATTTTAGAAGTGTTCAAATATGAAAAAAATGCAGATCTTAGAATGAAGGGGATTCTTGTTGGTAATGTTCATCCTCAAAAAAAAAAAAAAAAAAGAAAAGAAAAGAAAAGAAAAACTTCAGAGTAAAATTGGTCCCCCCTGAAGATATGTGATATTTGTCGTTGGCTTCATGTCATGCAGTAGTGGGGAGCCCCGGTGAAGTCATGCTTGTTGCGAGTTGGCCCTGCGTTTCCCAGAGAGAATCCTTTCTGGTCGTCTGGAATGTTCAGAGCCTGGGTCCCAGTTAATTGAAACATTCCTGTTAAATAAGGGCCACTCTGGATAAATTTGAAATCTTAAACGTTGGGAATTAGAGATCTTTCTAAAATATAATCTCATCAACATGGACCTGTTTCCCTACTTTGATATTGTTGTCTCCAGAACATTCATGAATTCTCACTCTAATGGTTGACGATTTCATGGAGTTCCTCAAGGCCTTTGTAACTGACACCAGTTTTCTAGAACTGGAAATGAGAGAAGTGAGAGATGGTTGCATGAAACCATTCCATTGGTGGCTGCATTTTCTTGCCAAGCACTTCATCACCTGTCATCTCATTTGTTTCTTACAACCACTCTGTGAATATTATCACCATAGATATTCACATTGGGGCAAGCAGGAAATTGAGGCTCGGACTGGTTAAGTGCCTTGCCTGCCACCACGGCCTGGGGTGGCGCAGACAGGCCCTCCCGGCTCCCTGGCTCTTAGTCCTGGGTCTCTCTCTTCCTCATTTGGCTTCCTGGGTCAGGGAAACATCCGGACAGCTTTGGTTTCATTTGTTTCTGCTAAACCAGATTGCTTTTTTTTGTTTGTTTGCATCTTTCCTCCCATACTGAAGGCCACCCGTCCCCAAATATAATCACTCCAAGACATTGAAGAGAGAGAGAGGGGAGAGAACTTTGCTGTTGGGAGGGAAGAGTGTGGGTCTGTGATAAAGGCCTATGTAAGTATGTTCAATCAGTAGCTGTTTGAGCCCCAACCGTGTGCTCAGCATGAGGCAAACAAGTCACCAGTGTGTCCTTGTGCCTGTGTGTGAGCCCCAAGGGCAGCCCTGGTGACCACATGTCTATGGAGAACCAAGTCAGGCCTGAGCTCTGCCCAGTGAGGGCCCTCCTGGTCGAGGACTTGATGGATGCGGGGGCTGTGAGGCCATCTGCTGGCACAGCGTGTGAGCTCAGTGGGTGACAGGCAGCTGGAGCCCCAGTAGGGCTGATGAATCTGCAGTGGGGGCAGGGCAGAGGGTGGGGCCATTGAGGCGTGTTTCACTGAGGAGGTGACATTTGAGCTGCCCTCTGAAGGTTGAAAGGAATTATCCAGGTAGACAGAGGGCAGAGCAAAGCGCAGGGATTTGGAAGTGCACAGCACATAGAGGGTGGTACGGGGTACGAAGGTGTGTGTGTGTGTGTGTGCATGCGTGTGTGTGTGCATGCGTGTGTGTGTGTGTGTGTGTGTGTGTGTGTGTGTGAGAGAGAGAGAGAGAGAGAGAGAGGGAGAGAGAGAAGACACCTATCTGTGTTCATTTCTCTCTCTCTCTTAGTCTCTGGCTTCCCCCTTGACACCCTTCCCAGCGGTCCTGGCTCAGCCCTGGGCTCCCTCGGGTCTCAGAGCTTCTGAGCTTCCTCCCCACGGTGCTCCCCTGTCCCCCCAGCAGCTCCCTTTGAGTTCGTTCTTTGAAAAAAAGTAGCCTGTGACTTTGTTCTTCCTAAGCCTGCCCTAAGCTTGGCTTCCAGAAGGACGGACACTCGATCCCACCCCCTGGCTGGCGATGGGGCACACGGCCTCGGAGCAGCTGCAGGGATGGATGATGTTGACTCCAGATGGAAAGTGTTTCGAGAATCTGATGTGAGATCACACGGCCACGACACTGCCCAGGCAGTAAGCGATCTGGTGAAGCTGTTCCCAGCCTGGCTTCTTGTCAAGGGCTGGCCCTGAGTGGGGGTCTGGAACCAAGGGGTGGCCCAGGGACGAGCCTTCTAGGGGCGGGGCACAGCTTCTCCAGAGCAGTCTGGAGGCAAATGCCCTTCATTCGTTCCCTGGGACTCGAGCCTGGCGGAGGTCCTGCACTCACCTCACTGGCTGCAAGTGGGGCCCAGGGTGGCTGTGCTGGGCTGTCCTACCCACCCTGGGACCTCGGCCATCTCTCCATTCCCAGCCAGGCCTCTGCCCCCAAGGGGCTGCTAAAGCCTGCATGTGGCCTCTTGCAGCTCAGCCCTCCCAGCCCCTGAGCCCATCTTAGCCAGGTGAAGAGCTGGGGCTACCCCAGCCGCATGCCGGAGGATGAAAGGGGAGCGCCCAGCCACAGCTGACATCGGAACCTGGGCCCCGTCCCAGGACTTGTCTTCCCGGCACCATCTGTTGCCTGAGAGGGCCCAGCAGGGACAGAAGGCTGGCACCGGGCTCAGAGGGCAGGGCTGGGAGGGAAGTCACAGGGGCCTCTACAGGGTTTTCACAGTCTCCCTGGTGAGATAACCCTCGTCAGCCCCTCTTCTCCTGCCACCACCAGCCCCCTGGGCAAAGTTTGGATCTGGGGCTGAAGAATAAAAGTGAGATGTGGCCAGTTCCCAGCTTAGGCTGGCTTTGGCTTTGCTGGCATCTAAGAGCATCCCCTTCTGGGGAAGGCAGAGGGCACAGCCAGATGGGATCCACCCAGGCAAGCGTCCAGGCATTGCAGCGGTCACTGCAGAATCATGAGATGGGTGGTGGACACTGGGCGTCAGGCTGCCTGAGGCTGGCACCCCGGCTGGCTCTCTGTTCCCTCCTCGGGAGCAGGCCACCCTCAGAACACTGAGCTGGACACAGGTGTTCTCTGGGTGGGAACAAATCCCCAGCAGGTCAGTGCCCTTGGGAGGACAGGGACATGCTCACAGGGACTGAGGAGCAGGGAAGCTACCTGTGCCCTTGGCTGTCTGCTCCCATCACCTGCCACCTTGGAAGGGGCCAGCAGGTTGGAGAGAAGAGGGAAGGGGAAGGTGAGAGGATTTGAAGATTGGGAAGAAAAGGGGTAAGGGGAAGGAGAAGAGGGAGAAAGAAGAGAACAACTCAAGAGGGGGGAGAAGGAGAAAGAAAGGTGGGAGAAAGGGCTGGGCTACAGGTAACACAGACCCCAAAATAGCAGAGGCTCCAACAAGATGGAAGTTTCACTTACGTAACAGTCACAGGTAGGAGGCCCACAGCTGGTGTGGGAACCCAGGCCCCTTCTCTTTCCAGCATTTCTAGGGCGTCACCCTTATCCTCATGACCTAAATGCCTACCCTTCAAACATAATAGCTTATTTCAAACAGCAAGGTGGAGGGAGGGCACTCCCACCCCATTTTAGGGACCCTAGTGGGAGCTGAGACACTGCTTCCCTTGCCTCTCTGGCCAGCATATACTTCCCATAGCTACAGCTAGCTGCAAGGGAGGCTGGGAAATGTAGTCTTTGCTCTGAGCATCCAGGTGTCCAGAATAAAAATCTCAATGAGAAAGGAGACAACGAATATTGGGGCAGCGGAGAATAGGAGGAGAAGCTCTTAGAAGGAGTAGGAGAGGGAACAGGAAGGAAAGAAGGGGAGACCCTCTGGAGCAGCTCGCACCTTTGCTGGACCTGACCTCCCAGCACACCTGGGCCCCACCTCAGGGTGATGGGGTCTAAGGGTCTGCCATGGACAAGTTCCTTGGAGACTAAGAGCTCTTCCTTTTCCCTAGAGATCAATGAACCTGCTACTGTGTCCCAGACCTGAAGTGGGATATGGAGTCCTTGGTGAGGGTCTCCAGGAAGAGATCTGCATCTAACAAAAGGAAAGAAGCCAGAGTGCAGGGTTTTACTAACCTGCTTAGCCAAGAAGAGGCTGCAGAGAGAGCCTGGTGGCCATGAAGAAGGATGTGATAAGTCATATTGAGTCATATTCCTTTAGGATGCAAGAAAGGAACTTCTTTGGTTTTCTTCAAAGTACGGGAGGGAACATAAAACATGTGGGCCATCTCACATATCAGTCAGGTCCCACTGGGCCACGTAACAGAAAAGCCAGCTACAATGTTTAACAAGAGCATTTATTATTGCTCAAAATAAGAAGCCCAGAGGAAGGCAGTTCCAGGATCAGATAATTCAATAGCTCCATGATGTCTGGGCTCTGGTTCCAGCTCCCAGTAAGTCTCTTTTCCTTTTGGTTGTAAGGTGGCAGCCAAACCTCCAAGCATCATGTCCTCCTAAAATCGATTTCAAAGGAAGTGTCATTTTATCTGGGAGGAAAACCTTTCCCAGAACCTCTCCACCAGAATTCTCCTTATCTTGGCCAGACTGGGTCACATCTCTATCCTTAAACCAGTCGCCAGCAAGAGAAAATGAAATTACTCTTTCCTAGGGGAGGGAGAATCTAGGCTAATCATAATCCATCATCTGGGACCCACCTTCTCTGAGCACACTGTGGCTGGATCCTGAACAAAGACAAATTCTGTTGTCAAAGAAATAGGGAGCAACGGCTGTTGGTCTGGCCAAGGGCAAACATTAATAATCAGTCATGACTTTCTCTCTCAGACAGTTGTTACCAATCAAAGTTGGCACACGAGATAAAGCGTATGTGTCATCTCAGGCTTAGATAATGGGAAGTAAGGAAGTCATAATTCAGGGGATCTTTAGTGACCAGTCATCTTGTCACTGCCCCATGTGGTGCCTTTAAATATCTCTGCAAATTCTCTCACTTCTTTCTACAAAAGGTGGCAGCTAATTCCTCCCCTCTTGAGAATGGGCTGGACCTAATGACTTGTTTCTGATGAATAGAAAGTAGCAGAATGATGGTGGGTGAACTTTGAGACTATGTCCTCAAAGGCAGGGTCACAATCACCTTGCTCTCTCTTGGATCACTTGCTCTGGGGGAGGTTAGCAGCATGCCACAGGAAGCTCCAGCAGCCCTGTGAGGATACCTTGTGGGGAGGAGCTAAGACCTTCTGGCAAGAGCCATGTGAGGGACCCGTTCCGAAAGTGGGGCTTCCAGCCCCAGTCAAGCCTTCAGATGACTGCAGCCCCGCCTGACATCTTGACTATAACTTCATGAGAGACCCTAATTCAGAGCCCCAGCTAAACTACTCTCAAATTCCTGACTCACAGAAACCGTGAGATAATGAATGCATATTGTTTGAAGCCCCCAAGTTTTGGGGTAATTTTTTGTGCAGTCAGAACTAGCTCTAGGGTGAGGCAAATGATATGTCTAGGGTACAAAATTTAAGGACGCTTGCTCTCAAGGGTATGAAAGTGAGGGTCCACAGATGGCTCTGAGAGGAACATCTTCTTAAATTTTGTGCACTGGACTCCTCACTTTTGTCACCCCAGTGTCCAGCAGTAGATATACGTGTATGCTCCTCCCTTTCCTTCTTTCCAGCATTCTCTGGCTTATACTTGGGGATCCATGCAGTTTGAAGAAGCTGGCTCCAACTCTGGTTCCAAGGTGGACCATGTGAGTAAGCCACTCACACATTCCGTTACTCTTGGGTCACAGCGATTGGATCAGTGGTGGCATGTACCCCAGCCCTTGTTCAGTCAGAGTGGATATCAAGCTTTTTGCTGGGAATGCCATGACAAATACGATGCCACCTCTCTGATGTGAGTGTAACCATGAGACTTCTGGCAGCCTTCTCAAGACCTCCAAGGGGAGCTAGTTTGGGGATAAAGGTGACAGCAGGAAACAAAGAAACTGGGTCCTTGGTGATGTGGTTCAGCTGCTAGATTAACACCTCCCTGAAGCCAGCCTCATCTCTGGACTTCTCCGCTCAGTGAGCTAAGAATTTCCCCTTTAAAATGTAAACCAGTTTGAGCTTGGTTTTCTGTTACAGGCAAAGGAAAGCACAACCACGATGTTGAACACACAGAGGAGACCCCACATCAGTTACTCACACAGATGCTGCCAGGGATCCAGCTGCTTCACACTGTGCAGAGTGCATATCCAGATGTTCTGTCAAAGTGTTTGTTTCAGCCAGATGGTTAGTATCTGGTAGGTGGAAGGTTAGCATGATTTAATGCTTATCCGCAAACATCCTTCCCTCTCTCCTGCCTGCCGATACCCCCTTCCAGGTGGCCATGCCCCACCCACACCCTCAGCAGGTGCCACGTTTTGTGTTATAATAGTATCCCCTTACTTGTCCCCTTCCTCCATGGCCATTTGGGCCGAGGGTTGGTATCTAGCCCAGACAGCCACTTTAGAGGCTGGGCAAAGACTGATGTGTGACTTGCTATGAAGAGATGTGCTGGGGAAGTTGGAGTCGTTCTTTGTCTCTCTGAACTAAGAGATCTTGAAGAATGAAGCAGTTATAGGCAGAGCCACAAAGCAGAGATAGGGCTATAGTAGAATGTCAAGCAAGCACAAGTGAGGGGCAAGTGAAACTATAAGAAAAGAAGACCTATCCTAGAGTCCAGGGGGAGAATGAACTTGGTAATGAGAAGAGGACAGAGTTGATTGACAGAAAGAAGCAAACTCCTTGGGAGAGGGAGCGAGCCCTGAGAAAGAGATGGACAGCAATTAGGCTCTGCCATGGGAACAACCACAAATCCCAGTGGCTTAGCCCAACAGGAGTTTTTTCTTGACCACACACGACCTGCTCATCACAGGTCACCAGGGAAGGCTCTGTGCACTGTGGTCACGTGAGAACTCAGGCTGACAGAGGCTCTAGCTTGACAGGTGCTTCCATGATTGCAGAGTCAGGGGAAGGAAATTCAGCCAATTGCACGTTGGCTCTTAAGACTTCTGTCTACAGGAGACACACACCTCTTTTGCTTACAATTTATTGGCTAAAGCAAGCCTCACGATTATGCTTAATTTTAAAGGTGGAAGAGTTGTGCGATGCTACTATGTGCATGGAAGAAGGAGAAACAGGAATATTTGTGACCAGCCTTATTGATTACTGCGGAGAGGCGAGTTGGTCCCTAGAGCTGCCTCAGATTCTACAGGCCAAGATTCCACAAGCCCCTGCCATACTGTGATCCTGGTTTGTACTCACCCATGACCGCTCTCACTCTTACTGCCCACACATGTCTTGCAATGCCCACCACCTCTGCACACATTCACATATCTCTTGCAACTTAAGACATGGCTCCTTAGGCTTCTTACTTCCTTTGAATGCTCCTTTCCCAACTGAGGACTCCCTCCCTCCAAAGTCCTAATGCCAGCACAAATTACCTTTGTGTCTCTGTTTTATTGCAAGGAGAGGGGAAGGGTCTATAGGCCTTCCTCCCTTGGGAATATCAGGGGAGACTGCCAGAAATTCCATTTGTACACATGAAGAATTTGTAGGTTTCCCCGGCAGGTACCAATACATAGTATATGGTTCTCTAGGGCTTATTGTTTGCCAAGCACTGTGCCAAGAACTTTGCCTGAATTATCTCATTTAAAATACTTTGAAGCTCACTTTGCAGATGAAGAGACCATGGCACAGAGAGGTAAGCAACTCCCTCGAGGACTAATCTTAGCATTGGTGCTCCTCGAGTCAGAGTATATATACCCAAGAGCTGGAGAGGAGGGCTCTGGGGCTGATGGGCCAGCCCTGGGGACTGGGGTTAATCTTTTTTTTAATTTTAGTGTATTATGGGGGTACAAGAGTTAAGGCTACATATATTGCTCATGCCCCTCCACCCCCTTGAGTAAGAGCTTCAGTGAGGTTAATCTTTGAGGAGGGGAGAAAAAGTGAGAAGGCTGCTTCAGGTGGCAGAGCTCACCTCCCAGGAGAGACTGCTTGGCATCCAGGAGAAACATACTTAATGCGGCAGGGTACGGTACCCTTCAGATGCCCTTGGGCCCAGACTCCAGCGCTCAGAGCAGACTGAGAAACTGAAAGAAAATAAGGTGTCTTTGAATGAGCACATATAGTGCCCAAATTGTGGTCTCTAAATATCTTTTCTCACATAAGGGAACAAAGGCTTCTTGAAGGATTGCCTGTTTCCAGGTCTGGAGACGAACCCAGGACATCTTGTACCAGAGAGCAAGCTATCAAACGCCACTGGGGACACGGCAAAAGGACTCAGGTGCCAACTCAAAGAAGCTCCCACTGCACGAAATGGGATTATTTGTGCATCAAAAACAAAACAGACAAGCAAATACCCTGCAATGAATTGAAACACATCAAATATTATAAAAATCCATGAGTTAAAAATGATTATTAAAAAAAGATGTTTGGAGGATGCCTAGAGAACCAAGTGACATTCTGAGAACTGGTAAATAAAGTGAAAGAATTGATTTAAAGGTGTCTTTGGGGTCTCCCAATGATAGAGTGGATTTGAGAGATGGTTGGAAAACTCTCTGTGTACTCCTTAAAATTCTCCCTCTGGCTTTCTCCAGGCCTGAATTTCCACCATAAGAGATTCATTTGTTTGGGTTTACAAATGTCCTGAACCAAAGTCAAAATACCCCTGGGAAAGGTTTGTTAACTACTTTCCTTGAAGATCGTGACAGATGAAACGTAGAGAATCCTGTGGTTCCTAGGGAGATAGGGGTGCAGCAAGAGAAGAGGAGCAGGGAGGGTCACAGGACTTGGCAACGTCTGGGGCAGGGGTTCGTCAACGTGAACGTGCAACAGGCTCCCCTGGGCTGGCTATCTGCAGTTCAGCTCTTTATTGGCCCAATCAGTTGGAGTCTGATCCAACAGGTAGAAAGAATGCCAGAGAGGTACATTTATTACTTAACACAGCTGATTTGGACACAGGTGTTTTTGCCACCACTCTCTGGGGAACACAGATGTTCCCTCTTGGCCTGTGTGACTTCCTGCTCCAGAGCCCTTGACTATCGCAGCTGAGCACCTGTCGACACTGCAGGCTCCATCGGGCCCTCACCTGGGGACCTCTACCAGGTACCTTTAAGGTGCCAGCCTTTTCCTTGCAGGGGAAGCTGGCACTGTGGAGAAGGGACCCAGCCATGTGGCGCCCAGTGTGAGCCCTGTGCTGCCTGCTCTTGCCCTCTCTCGTGGCCTCCCGAGCTGTCCTGACCTGCCCATCGTCTTGTGTGACTGCCCACTCGCTCTTGGCCCTTGCTGCTTGACAACCCTTGTGGGACTCTGCTGGGCCTGGGACCCTGTGTCTCAGCTCAGGCCCTGCGTGCCCTTGGTCCTGGGATCCTTCTCTCTCCTCATCCACCCAGTGCTACCTGCCAGCACCCTTGTTCCTGGGCAGGAGGTTCTTTGCAGCCCCACAGATCAGCTCTGTGGCTCTGCTGGATTTGTGGCCACCTGCCCTCACTCTGGAGTCCGCTAACCACCTTGCTGTGCCCCTCCCCACCCTACCACCTCACCTAGCCCCTGCCTCCCCCACCGACCTTTCCTGGCCCTGCCTCCCTGCCCCATGACCCTCCCCTGCTGAGATGAGCACCCGTACTCCAGGCCAGAGCCCATCCTTCCTCAGTAACTGTCCTCCGCCCCCCTCTTCCCCAGGGACAAGCGCCTGGCTGGGGCTGACCTTGACTGACGGCTGTGGCTGCACTCCCCTGTTCTGACACCTGGCCTGTGCCTGACCCCTGGGCAGGCCTGGGCGCCAGCCCTGGCCCTCCCTGGCTGGCTCGTCCCCCTGCCGCCCGAGCCTGGGTTATGACATCTTTCCACTGAGCAGCTCTTATTTTGAGAAGGCAAACACAGTGGCGCCCACAGGCATGTGCACACGCCAGCACACGCACACACACACCCTGTCCATCGCCCGGACGCCTCGCGCACTGGGGTTCAAATCCGGCTGGCCATGTTTATTTTTCTTCCTCTAATTTCCCCTTTGGAACAAACATCGGTCCTGTAACCCCGACCACCCTCTCCTTTCAGATCCGTAGCCGCCCCCGACCCTGCTCCCTGGTCTTCCTGGCGCAGCTGTGAATGAGAACAGAGTCAGTCTTTCAGCAGGAGGCGGCAGCCTGAATGAATTGATCACAGCCTCGCGGCCAGCGGGCGAGGAGGGGTTCTGAGCATGTGTGTTTGAGTCTTAAAAGCTCTTTGCACACCCAAAAGCTTCTATTTTTCCATGTGCCTTGGAGAAAATGCTTTCTTCCTCACCCCCCTCCTCTAAAAATTTATTTCATTTCATTTTTGGTCCCATGCATTTTGTTTTCTGTTTTCTACAAGGGAGCCTGAATCAGGGCCTCAGAAAAACAAGGCCGAGCTGCCAACTGGAAATGTTTGCTCTGGGGGCGAGTTCGGAGGCTGGCGTCAGGCGGGGCAAGATCCGTGCCAGTGGAATGTGATTTGGGGAGGAAGCTGCAGGTCACTCAATTGCTGGCAGCCCGCCCGGGAGCAACTGGATGCTTTCTGGGCTGTGCATGTGTGTGTGTGTGTGTGTGTGGAGCTGTTTAGCTTTAGGTGACTAGGCAAATGTGTGTGTGTGTGTGTGTGTGTGTGTGTGTGTGTGTGTGTGTGTGTGTAGACTTTTTTCCTCATGCAAACAGAGCCCAGGAGACGTGGAGACAGAAGCATTAGGAACAAACTAGACAGGGAGTTGGAAAATCAGGGAAACTGGGGGGATAAGGGAGGGGAGGGTGCCAGGATCTTGTGCAGCCACTTCATTCAGCACCCACTGTGTCCTCAGCCAAAGCTGCGAGCCACCCCAGCCCCCAGTGACTCCTGAGTTCTTTGGAGAAACAAGGCTTCAGTATAGAACACGGGCAGGGGAGCCTGGAGGTTCCCCAGGGCAGGGTGCACGAATGGGCTGAGGGTGTTCAGGAAGGGCTTCCTGGAGGAGGTGTGGTAGGGTCTGAGATACTGTTAGAAGCTGCCATATGCTCGGCCCTGCGCTAAGCCCTTTACCTTGGTGATCTCCTTTAATCCTCATGATCACCCATGAAGGTTATTAATCCTTCTATCCTGACTTTGCAAACGAGGAAACTGAGGCCCAGAGAGATTAGGTAACTCAGCCAAACGCCCAGCATGTAGGTGGTCAGCCAGGGTTCAACTCAAGGCTGTCCCAATCCAAGGCCTGGGCTCTCTCCACCACCACTTTTCACTTAGCCCTCAGGTAAGGGCCTGTTTCCCCACCACCCCCACCAAAGAGAATTGTTGAGTTCAAGGTGGGGAATGTCGCGGACCTAAGATAGCAGGCAGGCTTCCGGGGGGCAGTGTGACGAGTGCTTGGAGACCAGAGAGGTAACCTGCCTTGTTTCACTGTTCCCTTGACAGTCCTGCCAGGTTTCATGCCTAGTCAGGCCTCTCCCACAGCCTAGTCCCCTTTACCAGGGACCCCCGTCCCTCTTGCACTCCCTAGCACGTCCCCTGAACATGCCAGGTTCTTTGCCACTCCAGACCTTCCTGCTGGACTCCCACTCCTGGGGGTCCTCAGAAGTCACCCTTGTCACCCTGAGTACTGCACAGAGCCGAGGGAATCGGAGAGAATGGACCTGCCCTGGGCAACAGCACAACCCCTGGGGCTGGAGTCAGGATTGCCGAGCTGCCACTGCCTCCTGTGTGAGATCAAGCGAGCCCTTTCCCTGCTCGGGACTCAGTTTCCTCAGTTCAAAATGAAGAGGGGCCTGGATGGCCTTTGGGCTGTTGCAGATGGATGGAGAGCATCTAGGGTGGCGGATTGACCTGAGGCTGTTGAGGGCACTGGGGCAGGCTCGCCTCAGCCCACTGCAGAAGGATCCTCTGCCAGAGGGAGCTGGGTCTGTCCCAGGCCCAAGAGAGCACAGAAGAATGAGCCAGGCTGGGAGGGCAGGAGGAGACGGGGTGAGGGAGGCGAGTCCTGGTTGGGGTGGTTAGACCAGCTGGACCCAAGTTGTCAGGTAGAAATCGGACGGGCAGTGATCTGCCTGATTAGAACTACTCCATTGACACATGGGGCTTTTATTGTCCTGAACCCAAATAGTTGGTTAGCCTTCCCCATGGATTCTTTTTGACCAAACTGACAACTAGTGTTAGGGAGACACCGGCGTGGGGCTTCCCTGGGCCTGCCATATCACCTACGTTGGCCAAACTGAGTCAATTCCATGAGACAACTGATTTTTACCAATTGTTTCCAGGAAACGGGCAATTGGCCAAATTAACCAAACCCAGTAGATGTTTGGGTTTCTTGGAGACAGTCTTTGGATCTGACATCTTTAGTCCTCAAGAGACATTCAGGCCACCTGCCGCTTACCAACAGTAGTCAGATTCCTGAGAAGTCTGGGAAAAGCCCTACCCACAATGGGCTTTGGGGCTGTCTCTCCCAGTAATAAAATGGGAGGGTTGGATTAGAACAGGAGCCCCACAAACACGCAGGGTGAATACTGCCACTCCTCTTTCATCCATGGCAGATCTTGCAGCACTCATTCCCAAGGGACCCAGGTGCAGCCTTGGGATCTTTTTCAACACAGGGCTTCAGGCATCCTTTATCAATCAATTAGATTTGGCATGCGTGATAAAGAGCATTTGTCCTCTGGACACTACATGATCTCCAAACCTCCCTCCAGCTGTGCTGATCTGGAATTGCAACCGATGAGGCGTCTCGAGGACTCAGCCTGGAGACCACCAGGTCTATAGCTGTCCCTGGGGCTTCCGGGTCAGTGGAGCTGCCCTTGAGCTTGTGGCCTGTTAATTTTCCTCACCGCTAATAAATGTGCATTGCGTCAGCCCTGTTCTGCCCCCTCATGTTCTCTGGCTGCTGCCATCAGCTGGGACTTTTTCAGACAGCTACAAAAATAGTTTTTTCTTTTTTCTTTTTCTTTCTTCCTTTTTTTTTTTTTTCCTTCTTCAAGGAGCCTACACTGAGGAAGCAGCCAAGGCCTTTTTGTTTCTTTTCTCTTCTGAGGGAACGGGAGAGATGAGTAGGGAAGACTTCACAATGAAGGAATGTGCTCCTTGGGGAATGGAAAGTTGTTTTCCTTAAAGAAGAAGAAGAAGATGAAGAAGTTAGCGCACTCTGGTTTCACATCTAGCTATAGAGCACATCTGCCGGGAGTGGTAACAGCTACCAGGAGGTCACTGGCTTAAGCCGAGTCTCGTTAGGCTGTTGACAAGTAGGTCCCGGGGAGCAGCGCCCTAATGAGCTGCTCACTCACAGCAGTGTCCTGGTTGGTCCCGTGCCTGTGTTCCAGTGTGTTCCATCAAGGCCCTGCCTGGGAGACAGCTTTCCCTGCCGGTGGCAGAGGTCAGGCATGCAGGGGAGCTTTCTTTCCCACGGGCGAACGTTTCACTTTGCCCCACTGTTGTGCTATGGGGTTTTGAAGAGGCTTATGACAAATCCTAATATGCTAGGGACAAGGAAGAGCTGGAGATCTGTGGGCTCTGCCTCCCCCTCACTCGTCTCCACGCACAGAGGAAGCAGCCGAGGCTTGCAGGGAGTAGGGGACGGGAGGAAGGTGCCGAAGGGCACAGGGCTGGTCCCAGGGAGAGGATGCATGTCTCGACTCCGAGACCAGCGACGAGTCAGAGCCGCAGGAAACTCAGCGTGGGCTCAGAGCTTCATGAACTCAAGTAATGTATGCCCTTGTCCCAAAAGGAAGCATATTGTCCCACAACCCCAAGGTTTGAATTATACTCTTATGCTTTTAATTCGTATATAACTATAAACCCCAAACAAATGAATAAATGAACACAAACAAAACCTCAGAGGAGATCAACATTCGCATTAATATTGAGTTAATATGATGGATAATATCGTTTTACTGAAACGGAATCCCACAGGGTGTAGAAGAGGAGCAGAGAACCAGCGCGAGACCCTGGGCCTTTCTCCCCGCATCTGTCAGAGCTTCCCCTTCAGAGGCCATTCGCATGAGGACTCTGGGGGACAGTGCGATGTTGGGAGGAGGGAAGAGGTGCAAGAGAGGGCAGGGCCAAGTCAGATAGCAGCCAGAGGAAGCTGAGAGCCTGCTGGAGACTTCGCTGCTTTGGTGCAGCCTACTCCTCCTCTCGGGGGTATGGTCGCCCAGCACAGCCTGGCGACAGTGTTTCTTCCTGGGGCAGGGCTCCTCGAGGCTCAAATCATCCCCAGTAGACCCTCGATGCCATGTCACCTGCCAATGGGAACCTCACTGGGCTTTGCCCATACCCAGGTACTACTCTTACCTGTCATTTCCTATCCCCTCCGAGCGGGGAAACAGACCAAACATGATGCACAAGTAAAGCCTAGAGTATGTCACAAGGTGAAAGCAGCTGGCAGTTCCAGTTGCAAATGGCTGGTGAAGGGAGGCCTCAGTGACCAGGTGACATAATAGCAAAAGTTTAAAGGAAGAGAGGGGGCAAGCTGTGGGCATTTGTCAGGGAAATGTTCTGCCTGGCCACATCCCACCATCCTTCCAGCCTGGCTTAGATGCCCCTTCTTCCAGGTGGTCCCCAGGGCTATTTTGCCACATTCTGAATTCCCACAGCGTCTACAGCTTTTTACACTGGGTCAGACTGGGATTATCTTCCCTATTGGACCTGGAGCTCTTTGAGGTGGGCACCGTGTCTCTTCCCACTGGGTGTCAGCCCCTTGCTCTGTTCACGGCTATGTGTCTCTGGCCTTGGTAGGTGCTCTACAGAGGGCACTGAAGGTCACCAGTGGATAAAGGGAGGGATGCAGAGGGCCTGTCCTCAGTGCATGAGCTCCTGGTGGCAGAAACTTCAC